AATTGTATTGTATTTATTTCTTATTTATTTATTTACTAATTTTTATTATTTATTTATTTTTGTTTTTTGTTTTTTTTTTATTGAATAATATGAGAAAATTACATTTCTGCTTTTTTTCTAGTTATCTAAAGAAAACAATTTCGAATTGGGCAACAATATCGAAAATAAGAAAAAGTTGGCCAACATTTGTTCGCAAAACCTCTTGAGAAATTCGGTGTAGGAGAACAAGAAGTTTGGAGAACAAGAAGTGCTTAGCAGGCAAGCGAACTGCATTCACCTGAATTCATTGTACCTGGAGCAACAAGCCGCAACAGAAATCCCCGCCCCTTCACACCCACTTGAGCTCTGGATGGGCGTATGGGAGAGATAGAAAGAAATCAAAAACACAATCAGATGTTGCCATAGTTGCAGCACACTCAACAAACAGATAAATATATAGAGAGAGATTGTGAGAAAGAGAGCGGGAGAGAGAGAGTGTGTGTAAGGGAGACAATGAATGCCTGAGGGGCGTTGGTGGAATGGACAGCATCAACAGCCACGCTTCAGCGGCGACAGCTAATAAAAATTGTCCAGCTTTTCCAATTTGAGAGATGCCAACGCCAACCGTCCCCCTCTCAAGAGAGAGGGAGTGAGAGAGAGAGAGAGAGAGTGGGGAAACGGCAAATAGAGCAATTTAAATTGGAACGTGATTATGCAAACGTTTGCGCAGCTTAACTCAAGTGTCGCTCCGTGCCGCTTGGCCAGTTGCCGCTGCTCCACACACACACACACACCCACACACACACATGCACAGAGGCTATAGGGTCATGCATTACAAGACTTGAATCAATTGTTAAGGGCATGTGTGCAACAAATCCAAAGAAAGAGCTACTACACACACACACACACACGCAGAGTGAAAGAGAGGGGAGAGTGAGAGAAAGAAAACGGTGCAAAGTGTGGGCATAGCATTTGAGTTGACCATTAACCAGGCTGAAAGCATTCAAAGCCCTTGAGTGCCCAGCAGCCAACAAGAAGCGAAGCCCTCAGCTGCGACCTGAGACTCTACTGCAGCCAGTCCAGCAGGCGCCGCAGCCTGCGCCCGGCCAGGCACTCCAGCAGCAGCAGCAGCCCGGCCAGGGCCATCAGCGCCGCGTAGCAGCGGTAGAGGCCGTGCAGCATGTCGTTGGTGATGCGTGTGACCAGCTCCACGTTGCTGCCGACGTCGCCCAGCTGCGGCGTGGACAGATAGCGGCGCTCGATGTGCGCGAGGACGCCCGAGCTGAGCAGCTGCTCGATCTTGCGGTCGATGCTGAACTTGAGAATCGTGCTGTTCGGAAAGTAGATGACCAGCTGGTACAGGTAGATGGGCTCGCGGATGTGGGTGAGCCGGCTGCTGCGCCGGTGCTGGCGCTGCCAGTGCGCCAGATTGTTGTCCAGCGAGATGGTGACCAGGCGCGAGCCCCGCCGCGCCTGCTGCAGCAGCCGGTAGCGCTGCGAGAAGTTGCCCTCCGTCAGCTGGGTGAGCTGGCGCGGATAGAAGTCGTGGTAGCCGCTGCTAAGCAGCGTGTAGTTCTGGCGCAGCAGCCCGGCCAGGCCCTGCGGCAGCGGCTGCTGCTTGGGTATGCGCAGCACGTCGAACAGCTTGGCCTGGTACGCGCAGCGCAGCACGAGCGTCAGCAGCAGCCAGTTGGCCAGCAGATGGCGCAGGAAGCTGCTCTGCGGCACACGGTGCGTGGGCACCGGATTGCCCGTGGTTGAGGCCAGCAGGTTCTCGACTGGATGCTGCAGTCGCAGCCGTCGGCCCAGGCAGCGCACACAGATCAGCGCCGCGAGCAGCGTGGCCAGCAGGCAGAGCCAGACGACCGACTCAAAGGGACGTATCAGCTGGCCGAAGGGTCCCAGGTAGCGCTCCGACCTCACCACAAAGATGAAGTAGCTCTGGTGATACACCGACGAGGTGGAGAACATGTGGCGCCGTATATCCGAGCCGCTGAAGCCGCCAATGGCCAGCTCTGCCTCGCCAGCTGCCAGCTGAGTGGGGTTGAACGAAAACGAAAAGTGATCTAGCTGAGCTGAATGATCCAATAATTTTCCTCTCACCTGTGCGAGGCAGCCGCTGAGGCTGTCAGTGCTAAAGATCTCGCTCTTCTCCATGGGTATCTTGAGGTGAACGCGGAATCGCAGCGCCGTGGCCAGCAGGCGGAGCAGCTCGCCGCCGATGCCATGCAAGTCGTGCATGTCAATCAGAGCACCGTCCGCTGGCAAATCAGCGCCATCTGGCGCACGGTACATGAAGTGCGGCGGCAACACATGCCCCGTTACATTGAAGGCGCAATTGCTCAGATTGGTGAAGCGTACGGGAAACAGCTCCGGATGCAGCAAACTGCCGTCCGACCGAAACTGATTGCTCCGGTAGGTGTGGATGCCCGGCGTGCAGTGCTCCCGGAACAATCTGTACGAATAGAGTTTGATCTGGTCATCGTCCGATCTGGTCATTGCCAGCACGACGACATTGATGATGCGCTTCAAGAGCGCCATGTTACACATGCGACCCACTGAACGGTGCAGTTCGCTTTCCGGCAAGCGAGCCATGAGAACAATTAGAAAGTAGAACTCACGTTCCTGCAGAGGGTGCGTATAGTTCAAATGGAGTTGCCTGGTAGATAGAGAGATGGGTAGAGAGGGAATGAGGGGCAGAGAGTAAAAAATCAAGTTAAGTAAAGTTAAAGCGAGAGCGAGAGAGAAAGAGATAGAGTCTAAGGTCAGAGTTAAGATATGAAAGATGGAAGACAGTGATAGAGGGGTAACAAGAGGGAAAGAGAGGGAAATGTAAGTTATAGAGAGATAGAGAATGAGGAAGGAGAGTTTAAGATCATAGTTAAGATAGAGCAGGTAAATCAACTTGCGAGACAGAGAAAGAAAGGGTTGTAAAAGAGAGAGAAAGAGAGGAAATTTAAATGAAGTTGAGACAGAGATAGAGAGAGAGGGTCTAAGAGACTCTAAGATCAAAGCAAACCCATGGAAGGTAACTTAGCATGAGAAAGGAGTCCTTCTCGCTTTCTCTCTCTCTTTCTCTTTCTCTCTCTCTCTCTCTTTCTCTCTCTCTCTCTCTTTCATGAGTTGGATAGAACATTCAGAGAGATAGACTTATAGACAAATGGCAATCAGTTCAATCGATCTACTCACTCAAAGGCCTCGGCCTCGTTGACCACGATGAGCGTATAGTCCCAGGGCTGCTGAATGTAGGCGGTTAGCCGATAGAAGAGGATGGACATGTGCAGGGCCAGCTGCTGGAGCAGCTGGTCAACTAGCTGTCGCTGCTGATGATCCACGAGTGCTGAGCAGTTGTGGCAGTGCTGTCGCACCAGGAGCGTGTTGATCCTGGTGGCGATGTAGCGACTTGCCACATGCAGCGTGGCCTCGCCCAACCGCTCCACATCCCGATCGACAGGCGGCAAGCCAAAGAGCTGCCCTGGCTGCAGGCCAAGGCCAAGGCAGAGGCAGCAGAGCAGCAAGAGGCCAACTGGCGGCCGCATGAGGACAGCGTTTCGGGCTGAATGGCAGACCAGGAGCCGCCGCAGGGCTCGGCAAACTGGCAGGCGCTAATGTAATTGCTGCTGATTGCGCTGATACGCCCTAATGGAATTGTGTTGATAATTTTGACTAATTGGAGGCAATTGCACTTGATGCTCACAACTTGGATTCGATTAACTTCGGCTCCGCTGGCTCAAATGGAATAATTAAAAATGCAGCTGCAAATGCGTTACGCTGGCTGCCTACGCTTACATAAGCCGATATGCTTGATTGCGTGCGGGGGAGTCAGCGGGTCGGTGGTGCTCGACTAGCAGATACCCTCAACTCTGCAAATATAATGTCTTAGGTCTTAGTCAGTTGATAGACAACGGCATAGAGCGAGGTATCTAAGTATCGAATGTATCGATCTTTATCGATTAATGGCAAGTGAGACGGGTGCTCAAGTAAGACAAACTAATTTGCATTGGATATAGAAATATTCATAACTTCTCTAAATACCTAAGAGGCCACTTAAAACTCTATGGACTCGGGGTAAAAATACGCTCAGGATAAATTATATGGGCTTAAGGGTAATTCGCAAAGGCTAAAGCAAAGGCAAAGACAATTCGCAGTAATCGAATGAAGTTGCACATAAATGATTCAATCAAATTATGTCACAAAGTGAGGTTGGGAGCTTCAGATTGAGGTTAGGTTGAATTTGAAATGTGAAATGTTTAAAAATATAGCAAATGCAGCTTTAAATTGAGTCAAGGCGACTCGAGCCTCCGTTTGGCTCCCTATCCCTCCTCCCCTTCCCCCCTCTCTCTCTCCTCCTTTCTGTCTCTCAATTTTTTTCTCGTCCTACTGAAAATGCGGCCAAGTAGGCGGGGCAAAAGCA